ATACAGGGAATCAAACTCAAGACCCTGTGCTTGCCAGTCAGGCACTGTGCCCCTGAGCAATATCCCCGGGCCCAGTATGTTTCTGTGAAGTCAAATGTGGGTACTTGTGATAGTCAGTCAGTGTGTTGGTGACAAAAGCAAACAAGCCTTCCTGAACCACAGGCAACTGTGGCTGTGCAGGAGGGAGGAGAGGCGAGAGTGTGGCAAGAGTCAGAAGGGGCATTGCAGCTGCCCCCACTGGCTTTGCGGTGTCAGGCAGGAGCCTTTGCTTCCCCGAGACTTGGGTCCCCATGGTACAGGGGTTGGTGAGGAAAGAATGGGAGCCCAACAAGGGGAGATGCTGTGTGTCCTGGGACTGCAGGCTTCCTGAGGCCCTAGGAGCTGGAGAATGGCAGTGGGTGGGTGGAGAAACTCCAGGAGCAAAGAGCAGAGAGCGCAGCAAGGGGACTCTCCTGAGGTCTTGGGCACCGTGAGGAACAAAGGCCCCAGCTCAGGCTGTTGTCCCTCAGCTTCACCCTCCCAGGGGGGCTCTGTGTGGTCCTAGGGGAATCTGATAGATGAGGACGAGAAACCAATAAGGGGGAAAGCACAGAGGACTTGGTTTGGATTTTGGGCCCACGACTGGTGAGCCACATCCCTCCCTTTCATGGGGACAGAATGATAATGGGTCCCATTCCTTCTTCCCCTCAAGGACTGAGTAGAGGATCCTGAGGGGAGAATCTCCTCTCTGGGAAGATGAACTGAGCTGAACTAAGTCACAGGGAGATGATGAATGCACCCAGGCAGGTGGCTGGTGAGTCACTTCAGAAGGAGGAGAAAGGGGATGACGGAAGAAATAAGGGGTTAAGTTCAAGGTTACAGTGTACAGGTATGTTAGGTCTGAAAGGGCCTTACCTGGAGGACATCAGAAGCCACTGCCCTCATAACAGCCCAGGGCCCCATGCACCTCCATTTCTCCACCACCATCTCCATCATCATCTCCACCTCACAACCATCACCCCACTCAACCATCACGGACACCAGGGACCCATGCTTTGTTTATCGCCAGCACTGCTGTCACTTCCATCCCCACTGGCCACCCCTTGTGCACCTGAACTACCAACACTCCGCCCAAAGCTCCAGCAGCACGTATGCCCCTGACTCCATGCCACCCACACTGTGGGCAGCATTGCAGCATTCGTAGCATGTCCACCTCCCTCCGAGGGCTCTGGCTCAGTGTTGTGGGTGGCACTGAGGTCCCGGGTGCACACTCCGTCCTCCTGAACACCTGGGTCCATTGCATTTCCCAACCTGGCTGAATGCAGCCCTGCTCAGCATGTGGGCTGTCCTCAGCTGTCATCTCTGGGGCTCTTGGCAAACCAGAAGCCACTTCCCCAGGGACACTGACTAGAGTCACACTGCAGATCCTTAGCTTCTTCCACAGAGAGCTTGCTCAGCAGACTCTAACCTCTCCACTCAATCTTAGGGCTTGGGTGATGATGTCACAGGGAAGGGATGGAGCAGTTTCCTTGGTGACTGTTACATTGTAGGGACCCCTTTTTGGTCCTTATATGGGTCCAGGAAGTTTATATTTGTACTCCTATGAATAAGTTATTGGAATTCCTTCAAGTTAATTCCAATCTACCACTTCCAGTGCAGCCCATGATAAGAATAAAGACACTAAGGTTTATTTATAGTTATGGGGAGCTAAGGGGTCCTAAGTCCAGCCATGGTGATGGCTGTTTGGAACAAAGGCCTCGACCCAGGGCTGAACCCAGGTTTTATTCAGTCATGAAGGAGGAGTGGCTTGAGGATGAATGATTGAGAATTGCAGGAAGTAGGTGAGTGCTGTGAGCTGGGCTAGGGAGGAGGCCTACATTTACCTCTACAATATGCAGAGAAAAGGATATCCAGGGGCCAGGGACACAGCTCAGTGGAATAAGTGCTTCCCTGGCAAGCACAAAGGGCCTGAGTTCAATCCCCGGTTCCGCAAAAAAAAAAAAAAAAGGATATCCAGAGAGTAATCTGCATTATACTATTGAGATAGTATCTAATGTTTTGGGGTTGGGTGCTTCAACTCTCATATGTAATCTTTCAAGCCCCACCCAGGAAGTCATAGCCTCTATCTTGAGGCTCGATCCCAGCCGACAAATTGGAGCACTGACTCTTCTTCCTGTCTTAACCCGGCTTCTATTAAAGAGCAGCAGGTGTGGGTTAACAGGGAAACATGTATGCTGTCTTCAAAGACTACCACCAGCACCTCAGTTAGACCAATAAGCATTGCTTAAAGCCAATTGAAGGGATAAGGAAAAGTCCTAGCCAGCTCTGTACCTATCAATACCTGAAAAGAGGGTCAGGCACAGCCAAAATGGAGACAACTGTTCTTCTTTTTTTTTTTTTTTTTTTGTGTGTGTGTGGGGGGGGGGCAGCTCAGCCCACCAGGGGGCGGGGCGGGCTGGCATGTGGTGCTGGGGGATTGAACTGCGGTCCCAGTGCTTTGCTGAGCTTGTCTAAGTAGGTGCTTTAGGCAACTGAGCCATCTCACCAGCCCCAACTGTTCTTCTTTTAAAGAGAGTTGTCCAGGCACTCCTCCACAATACAAAGCCTGTGTAAGGTGAAGATGACTTCTCAAGACACAGAAAGAAGGGATTTGCACTTATAGAGCGCCTTCTCTACATTAGTAGCTGAGCTGGTGGCTTCTTACTGTCACTTAGATCATTCCCATCACTCCTGATGGTCACTCACTGGTTTCCATCTTTTTTTTTTTTTTTTTTGGAACCGGGGATTGAACTCAGGCCCTCGCACTTGCCAGGGAAGTGCTTATACTACTGAGCCATCTCCCCGTCCCCTAGTTTCCATCTTGTAGAACAGAACACTGAATTGAAAAAGAGTGGTGGATCACCTCTCAGGGCTCTTGACTCTCCCAGCTGTAGACTTCCCTTCTGTAAAGTAGGCATGATGATATCAACCTGGAAGAGTTTTGTGAGTCTTAACTAACATCCATTTCCGCATGAAGTGCATGCAGGCGTGCCTTAGGTAGCGCCTTCACTGCTTATGGCCATCATGCTTAGCAGCTGCCAGACCTTCTGCCTTGTGCGTGGCCACATCATCCTTAGCCATTTCCTGCAGCCATGCTGGGTTATGTCCAAGTCACCATGGTAATAAATCATCACTGGGGATGAATAACATCTGTGAAAACAGCTTCCTTGTTTTAGGTAGTTGGATGATTAGCTCAAGAAGGGCAAACATTTGGAGGTTTGGGGTCCAGTGAAACTGGGCTTTTTCTCATATTGGAACCATGGGGAAAGGCAAGAGCTGCACTTTAGGGAGCCGAGTGTGAATCCACTCACTTCTGGTGGTGAACTCTTCACCCCTTCCAACCTGCTTCCCATGCTGCATCTACATGGACCATTTTTCAGTTCCTGCAGTACATCTGACTCATACCTGACCTCAGATCCCCTCTCATTTTGTCCTTCCTATCTGAGATTCTCCTATGATAATGCTCACATTACCAGAGCCATGTGGACAGTTAATAAAGAATAAAGCAGGGCTGGCGAGAGAGCTCAGTGGACTAAGTACTTGCTTAGGTAAGCACAGGGGCCAGGGTTCAATCCCTGGCACTGCATGCCACAACAACTCCCGCCCCCAGTGTGCTAAACTGGTGATAGAGTCCTGATGTGGTGGTGCACACCTGTAATCCCAGTACTAGGGAGGCAGAAAACAGGAGGATCGCTGAGTCGGAGCTGCGTAGTGAGACCGTGCACACACACACACACACACACAAAAGAATAAAGCAAGGCTTATAGAAGCAGTAACAACAACAACAACCACAATCTTGCTGTGCCCCACATTCCACAACCTTCATACCCATGCCTTCGGAACCGGAGATTGAACTCAGGCCCTTGCACTTGCCAGGCAAGCGCTTATTCTACTGAGCCATCTCCCCGGCCCCTCATACCCATACTTTGAAGCAATTACTTTTGCATCTTTACCTCTTCCACTTCCCAACATGTTCCTAAATAGCATGTGTATACTTTTATTTCTGAATTTTCATTTTAGATATTATCTGTTGATTTCTTTCTCTTTGTTTTTCTTTTGGTACTGGGAATTGATTCCAGGGACTCCACACTGAGCTACATTCTCAGCTCTTTTTAAATGTTTTTTTAAATCTATAGACAGAGTCTCACAAAGTCACTGTATTGCCCATGCTGAGCTCAATCTTGTGATCCTCATGCCTCAGCCTATCAGAGTGCATAGCATGCAGTACTGGGGATCAAACCTTGGTCCTTGTGCTTGCCAGCCAGGCACTTAGATCACTGAGCTATCTCCCCAACCTCACACCACAGTGCATTTCTCTCTTTGCTCACAATGAGGCTCAGGTCCATCTACTATGGAAATATTTATAGCCAAGGCACGCTGAGCTATGTTCCTGGGCCTTTCTAGAATACAATCACAAGTTGATCTTTTCACTTAGCCACGGTGTAAATCTCTCTCAAAAATGTTGAAAACAGGGCCGGGGAGATGGCTCAGTAGAATAAGCTCTTGCCTGGGAAGCACAAAGGCCTGAGTTCAATCCCTGGTTCTGGAAAAAAAAAAATGTTGAAAACATTTTGAGGTGTAGTAGCATACACCTATGATCCCAGCTACTCAGCAGGCTGAGGTAGGAGGATCACAAAGTGGAGGTGCCCCTGGGTAACTGTGGGTCCCTGTCTTAAATTAACAAATAAAAAGGGCTGGGAATGTAGCTTGGTATACAGTGCCCCTGGGTTACATCTCCAGTAGTGAAAAATTAAAGTTGAAACCCCCAACCTTGTTTCCATTTTCTTAGAAGCAGTCCTCTGAGTTACCAGTGCTAGCGCAGCTTCCTTCCCCCACTGTATTGGGGGTCCTCTATTTCCTGGATTTCGTCTCCCCTTTCATCTTGTCTGGCATCCTTTATCTATATAATGGATTATGCTCTCAACTATTATCCCAAGAAAAGATTTACAAGAGGTAAAGTTCTGTACTTTGTGTGTCTAAGAATGCTTTTATGTTGCTCTCATATACAGTTGATAGTTTTGGTGGGTATACAATTCTAGATGAAATAATTTTCTTCAGTAATGTGCAGGCGTGATGTTTTGGTCATTTGTTGTTGCATAATAGAATACCACAAACAGTGACTTAGATGAAAATTTATTGTTATATTTCATGATTCTCTAGGTTAGGTTTTTTGTGTTGTTGTTTTTTTTTTTTTTCTAAATGTATTTGGTACATGCTACAGGGTCTCACTACGCAGCTTGTGTAATGATTCTCCTGTTTTCAGTCTCCCCAGCACTGAGATTACAGGCCTGTGCCACCACACCCAGTCTGTGGCCAGCTCTGTGCACCAAGGGGTGGGGCTGGGGCCAGCACAGCATGTGGTGCCAGGGATGGAACCCCAGTTCCTGCACTTGCCTAAGCAGGTGCTTAGTCTGCAGAGCTATCTTGCTGGCCCTAGGTCAGGAACTTGGATTGGGTATAACAATAATTTCTGGACTCCAGCTGGAGATATGTGAAAGACTAAGGACTAAAGCAGTGGGGTTTGGTTTGGCTACACATCTTTTTTTTTTTTTTTTTTTTTTTTGGAACTGGGGATTGAACTCAGGCCCTTGTGCTTGCCAGGCAAGTACTTATTCTACTGAGCTAGCTCCCTGCACCCCCTTTTTTTGTATTTTAGGGAAGAGTCTATAGGGTGTTCAAGATCTCACTACTAGATTGGACTCGTAGTGATCCTCCTGTTTATAGCCTCCCAAGAGCTGGGATAACAGGCATGCGCCACCCCCCCAGTCTCAATTGCTGTCTCAGCGCACCTCAGGGGCAGGGCCAGCATGGCAGGCCCATGATTGAACCCCTGGCCCCTGCACTTGCATGCAGATGCTTTAACCCACTGAGCTATTTGACTGGCCAGGTTTTGAGTTTATAGTGGTGTGCACTTTTTAGCGAGGAAGAAAAGCCCCAGTTTATTCCCATCTTGGCTGATTTTGAGGTGTTTGTATGTCAACCACACTGAAAATTTAGCAAATGTCAGGAGCAACTTCAGCATGGTACTATCCCTTCAGTGTCTAATGATTTCTTTCTTTCTTTTTTTTTTTTTTTTTGCGGAAGCGGGGATTGAACTCAGGCCCTTGAGCTTACCAGGCAAGCACTTACTCTACTGAGCCATCCCCCGGCCCCTGTCTGATGATTTCTGCATGCTTAAAATAAAAATAATTCTCTATCATTGGAGTGTAGGTCAGAAGTACAGAACTTGCCTAGCATGTGTCAGGGTCTTGGTTCAGTCTATAGAAAACCCCACCAGTTCTGGGGGCAGAGGGGAGAGGGAGGACAGGAAGGGAGTGGGAGATGGGGCAAGAGGGGAGGAGGAGAAGGAAGAGAAGGAGGAGGAGGAGAAAGAAAGGAGGAAGAAGGGGAGGAGGAGGGAAAGGGGAAAGAGGAAGGGGAAGAGGGAGAAGGAAGGGGAGGGGAAAGAAGGAGAAGGAGAGGGAAGAGAAGGGAGAGGGGGATGTCTCACATATCTGAGATGCATGAAGCAGTGCCTGGCATACCTGGCACCAGGAGCCAATTGGGATTCAGCTATTCTGCCCATCCCAGCTGTCTCTCATTGGCTCCCCAGCACTGAGCATCTGGAATATGGACAGAGGATGATAGAGGCCCTTCAGGGAACTACTGAGCTGAGAAATAGTAGGTGGGTTTGGGGTTAGACTCCAATGAATGGGCTCTGCCAAGAAAAGAGAGACCTGGTCAAGTTACCCTTTTTTTTTTGCGGGACGGGGATTGAACTCAGGCCCTTGTGCTTGCCAGAGAAGCACTTATTCTACTGAGCCATCTCCCTGGCTCCCCAGTTACCCATTTTTATTTATTTATTTATTTATTTATTTATTTATTTATTTTGTGTGTGTGTGGCCAGCTCAGCCCATCAGGGGGCAGGGCTGGCTGGCATGTGGTGCTGGGGGATTGAACCGCGGTCCCTGTGTTTTGCTTAGCTTAGCTTGTTCTAAGTAGGTGTTTTAGACCACAGAGCCATCTCACCAGCCCCAGTTACCCATTCTTGATGCATCTTCCCCTAGGTCCCTTGGAAATGGCCTGGCTGTGGCTGCCCTGTCTTCTGCTTCCTGCCCTTATGGAGTCTGGTGGGTGCCTCCCATCCCAAGAGCAGTGCTAAACTGGGGACCTGCAGCAGGAGCTCCTGGGGTTGGGGGGACTTGCCCCGGGGAGTCCTGGGATGAACACCCCTGATGTTGCCCGCAGTGATGGGTGTGAGTTCCCAAGGGAGTGGGGTGGAGGCAGCTTTGCAGGGGTGTCCAGATGTTCCAGTGCTCTGTCCCTACAGTGGCAGCCAATGTGCCCCCGAAGTTTCTGGCCAACATGACAAGTGTGACCCTGCCTGAGGACCTACCAGTGGGTGAGTAATGGTCCCTGTGCTAGGACAGGGCCAAGCCCTGACTCACAAGGAAGTTCCAAGTCTTTCTCTTTGGTCTCATACCTTTGCTGTCCCTGGAGCCCCAGGGCTCATCAAGGGACAAAGGGCCCCTAAAGGGAATCCCTTCTAGAAGTTAGTCTTTCCTTCTTCAGCTTTTGGGTCATGGGTGTAAGATAGGAGGGTCCCTAGCATAGCACAAAATGATCGAAGCTCATTCTATTTCCATCCCTCTCAGTTTTCTGTTTTCCCCAAGGAGGTGGAATCTGTTTGGAACCATTTTTTGTTTAACTCTCATACCTTTGCTAATATCTCTCTACCTCCTGTTTTTGTTGCTGATTTTATTTATTTATTTATTTGTGGAACCAGGGATTGAACTCAGGCCCTTGTGCTTCCAGGGAAGCACTTATTCCATGGAGCCATCTCCCTGGCCCCATTTGTTGCTGATTTTAACAAAGAGCCTCAGGCTCAGAGTATTTCCCAGACACTTCTTGCAAGAAGTTAATAAATCTGCTTTGCTTTTGTTGTCTTTCTTTGTGGCCTTAGTTTTTCCTTATGGCAAATGAGAAGCATCTTCCATTTATGATAGGGATCTCAAGTTTTAAAAATAAATGTATTACATGAAATAAGTTGATTCAAATAATCAAGTCATACACAGTGGATTTCAAATTCAAAGCCAGGGAGCTTTGGCAAATTTGGGAAATCTGTCTCAAAAAGAAGGAGAAAAAGGAAGAGAAGGAGGAGCAGGAGGGGAAGGAGAGAAGAAGGGCAGAGGAGAGGAGAAGGGAAGGGGGAGGAGAGAAGAAATCGGAAATAATGATATGTGCATATGGAGAAGCTCATGGCAGTGGTACAGAAAGGGATAAAGTCATGGAAACATCATTTTGCACAAAGCCTGAGCTCTGACTTCCAGATGGCAGGGTGTGGATCAGGAGCCTGGATATGTGGCACCCTGCGGTGTACACCAGGCTGCTCTGCTGGGACGTGGGCTAACGAGATCATACAACTCAGCAGCAGTGAAATAATGCAAAGAACCAAGTTTAAAATGAAAGAAGATGACTTATCTTGAAGAAGGATATGGAGGAGAAGATAGATGGCTACTGGGCAGGCTGGGGGCATCTGATAAGTGAACATCCATGCGTCTTTGCCCATAGCTTCTTCTTACTAAAACTGGCATCCTTGCCCCACAACGACCACCTGACTTGTAACAGTCTGATCACTCTGGCTGTCACCTTTGCCTCCACTCCGGTCCTTTGTTCCCCCTGCCCTTTTGTGATTAGGAGAGGGGCGCCTCACAGAAGGGCAGCTTAGCATCAGAAAGAGTGGAGTGTGTATCTGGTGCAGGGATCTATCATCAAGTCTAGGGTGAGACTAGACATATATGTATAAATGTATTGGCATGTGTCTTTTTATTTTTATTTTTTATTGTTTTATTTTGTGTGTGTGTGTGTGTTTTTTTTTTTTTTTTTTGGCAGAACCGGGGATTGAACTCAGGCCCTTGCACTTGCTAGGGAAGCACTTATTCTACTGAGCTATCTCCCTGGCCCCAAAGATTTGCTAATTGCAAAGGATGCTTTTTTTTTTTTTTTTTTCCTCAGAACTGGGGCCCAGCACTGCAGGCCCTGGGATCGAACCCCTGCCCCCTGCACCTGCAGGTGCTTTTATCAGCTGAGCTATTTGGCTGGCCCTAAGGTGTGGTTTCAATTTGCATTTCTACAATGGACAGCAATGTTGAACATTTCTTTATGTATTTATTGGCCATTTGCACTTCTGAGAAGTGTCTGCTCATTTTCTGGGCAGAGAAATATGTTTTTTGTTTTTGTTTTTTTGGCGGAACCGGGGATTGAACTCAGGCCCTTGTGCTCACCAGGGAAACGCTTATTCCATTGAGCCATCTCCCTGGCCCACTTGCCCAGTTTTTTGATGGGGTTTTTTATTTTATTTATTTATTTATTTTGACTTACATTCTTCTTTAGCTTTATTGATGAACTTCCGGGTTTTTTATTTTGGAATGTAAATTTTTTCGAATTCTTTACATATTCTAGCTACTAGCCCTCTGAGGAACAGCTGAGAGCATCTTTCCCGTTCTGCAGGCTGACTCTTTGCTCTGTTGGTTGTTCCCTTTGCTGTGCACACTACACCATTCTGTATAAGATTCTTGAGTGCCTGCGCATTTTGGTGCCTATGGGGCCTGGAAACCAATCTCTAAGGACACCGAATATCTTTTATCTGTTAATCTGTGGTTGGCTGAACCAGTGGCTGTGGAGGGCCAGCTGTACATACAGGTAAAGATTCACACACACTCACAAACGCCCACTTATCTGCCCCATTTTCTTAGGTAGAGAGTCACATGGTTGTGCATATTAACATTTCTTTTTTTGTGGTACCAGGGATCAAAGTCAGGACCTTGTGCTTGCCAGGCAAGTGCTTATGCTGCTGAGCTATTTCTCTGGCTCGGTATCCTAACATTTGTGAATCAGAATATACCTTATAGTTGGGAAAGTCTCTTAGCACAGAGGGTAATTAGCAGTCCCCACCCCAGGAGTGCCCAGCAGCTCTGGCTGGATGTATTGACGGCCACTTTGAGATTCTCAACAAAGCTCAGGTTCTAGGTCCAGGGAGGCTGGGGCCATGATGGCCAAACCCAGGTTTGGCCAAGGAGGGGAGAATCCTCACCACCAAAGCTGACATTACATCCACAGTGCGCCTCACAGCCAAGAGCAACTTCTTAGCTGAACTCTGGCAATTGCCCTCTAGAGGACAGTGGTGGGGCGGGATTGTGCTGAAACCTACCAAGCTAGAGTTGGAGAGGCCGCCACTATTGGCCCAAGGACAGTGGAATCCAGGGTGTATTGCCAAGCTGTTCCTGAGGGGCTGCCATGGGATTGAAGGGCAGAATGGCTCTACATTTTTTTTTTTTTTTAATTGGCAGAACCTGAGATTAAACTCAGGCCCTTGCGCTTGCCAGGGAAGTGCTTATTCTACTGAGCCATCTCCCCAGTCCGAGAGTGGCTCTAAGGAAACTCCAGGCTGGCTGCTGATCCCCATTGGCTGTTCGCAACTATCAACTATGGTGGGCACTTTTGCCTTCATGAGACCCTTCTTGAGAAAAAATATACTCTAATTGTGTGTAATTTTTAGCCTACATATAGTCACTGTAATTATTTATGGAGTACAGTGTCATGTTTGGACACATACTATAATGATCAGATCAGATAATTGGCATATTCTTCACCTCAGACATTTGTCATTTCTTTGTGTTGAAAACATTCAGCATCTTCTCTACTGGACATTTTGAATTACATAATTAATTGTTGCCAACCGCAAGTTTCCAATGTTAGTACATGTGCTGCTGAAGCCAACACAACCGCCAGTTTCCTACTATGTTATAGAGTTTTCAAGGTCCTTCCTCCTGTCCTGTTGCACCCTTGTACCAATCCTCTCTCCCTTCCCTCTCTCTCAAATTATATTTTATGGTTGCACTGGCACAAACATAAAATATCATGTAGACTAGATTTCAAAATTGTATTTCCAAGGGCTGGCAAGATAGCTCAGCAGACTAAGTGTCTGCTTTGACATGTGCAGGGACCAGAGTTCAATCCCAGGTACCACATGCCATGCCAGTCCCACCTCAGGGCATGCTGAGTTAGAGACTGAGTCCAGGTGTGGTAGCACACGTCTATAAACTAAGTGCTGGGGAGGCTGAAAACAGGAGAATCATTAGGAGTCTGAGTTGCATAGTGAGACCCTGTACCAAACACATAAATGAAAAATCATATTTCCTTTTTTTTTTTTTGCGGAACCGGGGATTGAACTCAATCCCTTGCACTTGCCAGGCAAGGGCTTATTCCACTGAGCCATCTCCCCGGTCCTCATATTTCCTTCTGACTTTCAAAGACATTAAACATTTCTGTGGACTCTTTAATGTATGGTGGGTCCTGAGCTCCATGGCTCCTGCGCCAATGGCTGAGGGCCCGGGTTCCAGATAGGAGTTCGCGGGCAGGTGAGCTGATGAGATGGAGAAAGCCCTTGCTAATGAACAGCTGTGCAGACATGGCAGGGTGAGAAGAGTGAGGTCCAGGTACTGGGAGGCGCTGAGCAGGGGCTAGATATGCGATCAGAGGACTCCAGGGGTGGGTCTAACAAATCTGTTAAAAGCCCTTTTCAAGCTGAAGAGTAAAGACCTTGAGACACACAAGCCCTGCTCCTCCCATGATCTCCCAGCCCCTGGTCTGCCCAGAGATTCAGGGAAAGTGTTGGGCACGAATGAGGGGCTGATAGAATATGCTGCTTTGGCTACTGGAGTAGCAGCACTTGTGGAGGGCTCCTGAGGTCTTGGGGTAACTGGAAAGCTTAGAAGAGGCTGGGCCCGGGCTCCTCAAAGGGTAATTAGCAGTCCCCACCCCAGGAGCACCCAGCTGCTGTGGCTGGATGCATTGACAGCCACTTTGAGATTCTCAACAAAGCTCAGGTTCTAGGTCCAGGGAGGCTGGGTCCCTGGGTTTGGCCAAGGAGGGGAGAATCCTAGCTAACAACCTACCCCACTGTGTTCCATGTACTTAGGTTAATTGCTCTAGAGGAAATCAGGATGCTGTTACCCAGAGGCCCCTGGATAGGTGCTCAGTAATGACCACAGCCAACATCCATAACCATGGGACTAGACCCCCAGATGTTGGGGAGGCCCCAGATTCAGGTTGAGCCTGTGTGCAGAAAAGCTGAGTCCCAGCTCAGCCAGGTGGTACCAACAGAGATGCCACAGACCCTGGGCAGGCCCTGTTTCCTCCCCAGGTGATGAGGCCTTCTGGTTGGTAGCTGAAGACCCGGATAAAGACCCTTTGACCTATGGGATTAGTGGCCCTTATGCCTATTTCTTCTCTGTCAACAAAGACACTGGGGAAGTGAAGCTGGCGAGCCCCCTGGACTTTGAGGTAGAGGACGGCAGTGTGGGAGGGACCCCAAAAGGAGGTGCGGACACCCTGGAAGCCAGTGTCCCATGAGGGCACCTGACCTGTGCTCCCACATTGAGCAAGGAATCACCTTGGGCCCCTTTTCTCTGTCCTTCACAGACGCACTACTTTTTTAGCGTCACAATCTCTGTGACTGACAACTACAACGACGTGGTGAGTAGAAAAGTGGGGGAGGGAGGGGTGACCCAAATGTAGACAGGGTGTCTATCCCTCACCATGTTGCTTACCTGGAGTGAGCAGGAGTGCCCTAGTTAATAATGAACTGATCCTTATCAAAATTATACATGTCCATTTTTGTCATAGAATATAACCAAGAGTTTGGTGTTTATTATTAATTAATTTTAATTATATAAAATTTACATTATAAATATGGAATTAATTATAGTATTGATTTATGTTAATATAAATCATGCCTGAGATCCCACCTACTCAGTAGGTTGAGTCAGGAGAATTATAAATTTGACATTGGCCTGGGCAACTTAGTGAAGCCTTGTTTCAAAGTAAAAATAAAAAGGACTGGGAATATAGCTCAGGTCAAGACCTTGGGTTCAACCCTGGTACATCAAAAGAAAATAGAATAGCAGTGGCAAATGCCTCCCTCCCTATGTACCTCTGAGATGATCATCTTCAATGTTTTTGACCAAGTATGTTAGAATCTATGCTCATATTTCTGAATAACATGCTTATGCTGCTGTGCCTTGTGTCTGCAGAAGTTGAGTTTTGTCTCCAACATTTTTCCTAAGCCCCATTATATTAGTTGGTTTTCCATATTGCCTGCAGGTGCAGAAGCAACTGCACGTGGTGGTGGACGACCGAAATGACAACCCACCTGTTTTCAAGGACACTGTGTTCGCTACCAGCATCAGTGAGGTAATGCCTGCCTTTCCAGGGCCAGGCAGTGGAAAGTGTCTCCCGAAGCATGTCTTCAAGAAGGAGGGGCCAGGGCAGCCAGGGGCAGGAAAAGCTTCTTCTAGAAAGGGGATCTACAGGAGCCAAATGTAGGAAGAGGTAACACCATGAGCAATGGCTCAAGCAATACAGTTTGCAAGCAACCGCACTGAATTGTTTTATTTTTTATTTTTTTTCCAAAATTTTATTGATAAACAGATAGCAATGAGACAGTTTCAAATCAAATCGGTAGTACAGTTTCAATAACTAATACACTTCATATATTCTTCTTAGTGGATAATTGCTGTACAAGATGCAGACTTGAGATCCTATTTACAAACACCATTAGAACAAATCATTCTATTCATTAAGAGAATGTAACTAT